CTCAAGAGTTGTTTTTTCTTTATTGAGATGGAGTTTCGCTCTTGTTGTCCAGGCTGGAGTGCAATGGAGCGATCTTGGCTCACTGCAACCTCCGCCTCCCAGGTTCAAGCGATTCTCCTGCCTCAGCCTCCCAAGCAGCTGGGATTACAGGCATGCACCACCACGCCCGGCTAATTTTGTATTTTTAGTAAAGACCAGGTTTCTCCATGTTGGTAAGGCTGGTCTTGAACTCCCGACTGCAAGCAATCCACCCGCCTCAGCCTCCCAGAGTCTTGAGACCAACTTGAGCAACATAGTGAGAACTTCCCCCTCAAACTGCCAAAAGGCAAAGCCTGTGATCCCAGCTGTTGGGGAGGTTGAGGCAGCAGGATTGCTTAAGCCCAGGAGGTCAAGGTTGCAGTGAGCCATGATTTATTGGGAGAACCGGCTCCCGATGTTTAACGTGGGTTCTTTTCTATTTCCTAAGTGTTTCGGCTGGGTTGAGAAATAAAGGGAAAGAGCACAAGAGAGAGAAATTTAAAGCTGGGTGTCCGGGGGAGACATCACATGTCGGCAGGATCCGTGATGTTTCCCGAGCCGTAAAACCAGCAAGTTTTTATTAGCTATTTTCAAAAGGGGACGGAGTGCACGAATAGGGTGTGGGTCACAGAGATCACATACTTCACAAGGTAATAAAATATCACAAAGCAAATGGAGGCAGGGGGAGATCACAGGACCACCGGATGAGGTGAAATTAAAATTGCTAATGAAGTTTCGGGTATGCATTGTCATTGATAACATCTTATCAAGAAACAGCGTTTGAGAGAAGATAACCTGTCTGACCACAATTTATTAGGTGGGAATTTTCTCATCCTAATAAGCCTGGGAGCACTATAGGAGACCAGGGCTTATTTCATCCCTTCGGCTTCGACCATAAAAGATGGGACGCCTTAAAAAGGGGCCAAGGCCGTCCATAGGCCTACCTTCAGGGTGCATTCTCTTTCTCAGGGATGTTCCTTGCTGAGAAAAAGAATTCAGCGATATTTCTCCTATTTGCTTATGAAAGAGGAGAAATATAGCTCTGTTCCATCTGGCTCACCGGCGGCCAGTTCAAAGTTACCTCTCTTGTTCCCTGAACATCACTGTTATCCTGGTTTTTTTTTTAAGATGCCCAGATTTCATATTGTTCAAACACACATGCTCTAGAATTTGTGCAGCTGATACAATCACAGGGTCCTGAGGCGACATTCATACTCCTCAGTTTACAAAGATGATGGGATTAAGTGATTAAAGTAAAGACAGGCATAGGAAATCACAAGGATATTCACTGGAGAAGTGGTAAGTGTCCATGAAATCTTCACAATTTATGTTCAGAGATTACAGTAAAGACAGGTGTAAGAAATTATAAAAGTATTAATTTGGGGAACTAATAAATGTCCATGAAATCTTCACAATTTATGTTCTTCTGCTGCGGCTTCAGCCAGTCCCTCCATTTGGGGTCCCTGACTTCCCGCAACAATGATTGCACCACTGCACTCCAGCCTGTGCAACACAGCAAGTCCCTGTCTCAAAAAAAAAAAAAAAAAAGTCTTCCAAGCAGAAGGACCCCCAGTTCAGTGCATAAATGAGAATAAGAGACAACATTACACAATGGTCAACTAAATGATCTTTCATCAGAAATTTGCAAGATAACAATATGGAAAAATCTGTGGTTCTCGGTACGGGACAACTCTGACACACCCCTCCCCATCATCCAGACTTCTGGTGGTATCTGGAGATATCTTTGGTTGTTCTGATCTGGGGGATGCTACTGTGGGGGATGCTACTGACATCTAGCACGTATAGGATGTTGCTAAACGCTCTACAATGCCCAGAATAGCTCCCTACAACAAAAAATTACCCTGGCCAAAACTGTCAATAGTGTCAAGGTTGAGAATTCTGCTCTCACAAATTCCACTGATCATCTTTGAAAGTGTACACTTGACAACTGTAAACCAAACCCGAATTTGAGAACGACGAATAGAAAGTAGTTGAAAAGCCAAAATACTAAAACCATTGCTCAGTATTAGTCATCTTTCCTCTATCTACCCTTTTGGACTTCTGAACAGAACAGCTGGTAGCACTGGGGTGGATAAATGAAAGAGGAAGTAATTTGCAAATCTGTGGTTTCAAATGAAAATGTTGCAATCTATATATATATGCAGGCTGTTGATGATTTGAATGAACTGCTAAAATGGTTCTAAGTTTGCTTTATAATTTATAGGTTTGAGAAAAATGAGATACCTAATATTATCAAAATTAAGAAACCCTAGCAATCTTAACAAAACTTGTTAGAGATGTGAAATCAAATACTATATCAGCAAATTCATACCACTGGCCCAACTGAGGGCTGTATTTGCTAGGAGCTCCACACCTTCCCCATTCCTGGTTCCAGGATGCATCCACTGGAGTGGGGACAGTGGTCTGGATCTCACTTCTAGTTCTGTCCCTCACTGATTAGGTAACCTAGGACAAGTCATAATCTTTCTATACTTCTATCTTTACATGTGTTACACAAATTTTTCTTCCAGCTAACTTTCTATAATTCTAAAGAGGTCATATAAATGACTAAGGCTCTTTTTTTTGTTGTTGTTGTTAAAAACAGGGTCTCATTTGCTCAGGCTGGTGTCTTGAAATTCTGGCCTCAAGCAATCCTCTGGCCTCAGCCTCCCCAAAGTGCTAGGATTACAGGCATGAGCCACTAGGCCCAGTCAGGCTCATACACTTAATCCTGCTCTCTATTCTCACTCTAAATTATGCTTTCCTTTGAAATATGTTTTATGTTCTCTTTTCCCCTTCAAGGTTCTCCAGGATATTTTATTTTGATTCCCCTCTCATTTAAAACAAAAAGTTTCAATACGGAAGTATGCATCCTCTAAAAATGACACAAAAATAACTATTTCATATAAATGGCTTTATTCAACCAAGAACATTAATGTTATTTGATATCCTTTTTTTTTTTTTTTTGAGACTGAATCACCTAGCCTGGAGTGCAGTGGCACATTCTTGACTCACTGCAATCTCCACAATTTTTTTTTTTTTTAAGTATAGACAGAGTTTCATCATTTTGGCCAGGCTGACCTCGAACTTCTGACCTCAAGAGATCCCCCCGGCCTCAGCCTCCCAAAATGCTGGGATTACAGGCGTGAGCTACCACACCCAGACGTTATTTGTTATCTTTATTTCTTTTTGAGACAGAGTCTCACTCTGTTGCCCAGGCCGGACAGAGTACAGTGGCGTAATCTCGGCTCACCCCAACCTTCGCCTCCTGGGTTCAAGCGATTCTCCTGCCTCAGCCTCCCGAGTAGCTGAGATTACAGGGGCCCGCCACCAGACCCAGCTAATTTTTGTATTTTTAGTAGAAACGGGGTTTCACCATGTTAGCCAGGCTGGTCTCGAACTCCTGACCTCAGGTGATCACCCGTCTTGGCCTCCCAAAGTGCTGGGATTACAGGCCTGAGCCACCATGCCCAGCCTGTTATCTTTATTTCAAAATGATGTGATACCCTATAATGCAGAAATGAGTCCTTTTTGACTACCATATTATCACAAAAGTTTAAAGAGTATGTACCAGAGGTATAACCAACTTTATAAAGTGATTTTGGCATTATGGATCAAATAGGGTCAAAATTCAGGAAGGAAACAATCACAATTTTTTTTTTTTGAGATGGAGTCTCGCTCTGTTGCCAGGCTGGAGTGCAGTGGCACGATCTCAGCTCACTGCAAACTCCGCCTCCCGGGTTCAAGTGATTCTCCTACCTCAGCCTCCCAAGTAGCTGGGACTACAGGTGCGTGCCATCATACTCAGCTAATTTTTGTATTTTTAGTAGCGACAGGGTTTCACCATGTTGGCCAGGATGGTCTCGATCTCTTGACCTTGTGATCTGCCCGCCTTGGCCTCCCAAAGTGCTGGGATTATAGGCATGGGCCACCGCACCCAGCGAACAATCATGATTTTAAAAAACATGTCAAGGTCATTTAAAATATTTAAGACATAGAGAAACTATTACTTTCTAGAATGAAGCATTTTTATTACGCACACATACACAGACACACACACTTTCAGGAGATAAGGCAAAGAACTAAAACATGAACGTAAGTGACTGGTAATTCCAACACTACAGGGATAAATACTATAAACACAATGAATGCAATTAAACTTCAGATAACCAAACCAAATACATGTTTCTAGCTTTAGTAAAAGACAAACATAAAAATATTGAAAACACAAGCAGAAAGAATAAAACTTTTCAATGTTCAAGAAACATTAGAAGTGTTTTAAATTAACTGATCTTAAGCCTGTCCTGGGCCTAGAAAGTCTGATTAAGCTGGCCTGGTAAGGGGCATAGAAATATTCTTAAATTTTTTATTTTTTCTTTAGGCAGGGTCTTGATCTGTCACCTAGGTGGGAGTGCAGTGGTACAACCATGGCTTATGAAGCCTCGACCTTCACAGCTCAAGTGATCTTCCCACCTCATTTTTTTATTTTTTGTAGAGATGGGGTCTCCCTATGTTGCCCAGGCTGGTCTCAAACTCCTAAGCTCAAGTGATCCTCCCACCTCGGCTTCCGAAAGTGCTGGGGTTACAGGCATGAGCCAGGGCGCCTGGCCTTAAATTTTTTTATTACTATTTTTAAAAGATATTCCAATGACCCTGATGATCAGTGAAAGCTGCTATTTTAAAACACAAAGCTCATATAAATTTGGCATAAATTTGGCATATATTAAGGCTAGTATGCCATGTATAGCAAAGGCATTTAAATTGAGCCTGAAAAATGCTGAAAAATACGTCTTTACCAGTGTTAGAAGCCATTGATAAAACTTCTTTCATGAGGTCTAGAGAGGTTCTCAACGGGAAGTCAGAATATAGCAGTAAACGCTGGTTTTTAATATCATCCCAAGAGGCTGAGCACACACCAAACCAAATAGGAGATAACCATCGCGAGGCTGGGTGAGGGGCTAGCATGGTGCAAAGCTGGTTACCTTCTCAAAGTGCAGTCGAGACAGAAGCACTGGGCTGTTGGACTGAGGACTCTTGTTGTAAGAGGGGCAGTACTTATCAGGGTCTCTCCATTCCGGGAGCCGCTGCTGGCCCCGCCGATCCTGGTAGGCGCAAGCTCTCGTGAGAACATCTCTAGGTAAGTGACAGGATGTTCGCCCACACATTCTTCAACACCGTCCCTCGCAACCTTTAAATTACAAAAGGTAAGGAAAAGGCTTACATATCTCAAATATTAGGTCTTATTCCTTGAGTCCCCGCCTTCTCTTTCCGTTCCCACAGGGCCGTGCCCCTCCGTGACCACAGTCTAAAGTCTTCCCCAAGAAGTCCCACAAGGACAAGGATGTGCCCATTTGCTTCGCTCCCTGAGCTCACTGCCCAACTCCGTGCAGGGCACTGAGGCAAGTCCCCAGAGGAGCTCTGCAAAAGCCTGCCTGAGCGCAGGGAAGAGCCGCAGCGGAGGGGGCTTCACGGTCCAACCAAGCAGGGCAAGCGCAGCTAGCAGGGGTCGCCTCCTCCGGGTGACTCGGTGCCCCCAACTCCCGGTCCTTCCCCCGAGTCCCCGCCGGGGTCAGCGCCCCACGCCTGCCAGCACCCGCTTACCTCGAGGGCGGCCACTGGACGGCCCGGGGCCGGGGTGCAGAATCCCCGCCTCCCGCCCGCAGCGTCCCCGGGCCCGACCCGCGAAACTGGGCCGCGGATCCCGCTCCGGACACTGCTCCCCGGAGCGGGGGCCGGTTCTCGGGGAGCAGGTGGCCCCCAGCCACCGGCCGCAATCCCTCGCCCCTCCCCTCCGCTCCGGCCCTCAGACTCCACCGCCCCGAGTTGCCTCACTTCGGCCCAGGCCGCCCTCTCCGCGTCGCCTCGCGTCCGCTCCGGCCTCCGCTCCCCTCTGTCAACCCGCGTCGCGTCCTTACCCCTCCTCTCCCCTCCCCACACCCCGGCCGCCCGCGTCGCCTTCCCTCCCCTCACATCGCCCCGGCAGCACGCTTCACCGCCCTCAGTTCGCGTCACCTCCTTTGGCTCTCCTCACCGCTTCTCAGCTCCCTTCTGGCCGCCCGCCTCACCGCCCCGCACGTCAGCCCCGCCTCAGCCCGCGCTCCCGGCGCTAGGCCCCGCCCCCTGGGGGGGGCCCTTGGTTCTCTCTGCGCCCTCGGGCACCGGAGGCGGCGTCTTCTCCCTTCCGGTTTGGGATGAATCTTTTCTCGTTTCCCCAGGAGACAGTGACTGCCTTGGGGAATGCATCCATCCCAAGCTTCTCGGGACTCCACTTTCTTCCATATTGGCCGTTCCCTGGCGGGGTTAACCTTCCTCCCCGCCCCCAGCGCGCCTCAGGGCCGCCGGCGGGGAAGGTTCCCGCCGCCCTGAGTCTAGGGCACAGGGTCATCGAAGGCGGGAAACCAGGAAACTCCACTCCTTACTTCACAGTCGTGCCAGCCGTCTCACAGTGCGAGGCAAAAATGGAGGAACACTGAATAAATGGAAGTCTGGAGAACTTTCAGGAATCGCGCACTTAGCCCTCAAACGATGGTGTACACTAGAATGAGCCTTTTCTGTCCCCGCACCCCAGCCCGCCAGCTGAATCTCTAAGGGTGAGGCCCAAATTTTTAAAACAGTCCTTACGGGTGTACTTTGTTCTCAAAGTTGGTAAAATAACCTGGCTTGAGTTTAAAAGCCTGCTCCCCTTGGGACCTAAACCGGAGATTTCTTTATCTGCAACCAACAGAGAATACTCTAGAGGGCTGTTCTTCGCCTATGCTGATTCGCTGAACAGGTAGCAGAAACCCCAGGGCACACTCCACATAGGACCTGATGCTGGAACGGCCACAGGACCCAAGCCCTTTGGAGCCTCCGTTTATCGACTACCAGAGGAGGATGCGTTGCGAAGAAGCACGAGTGGGAGGGAGTGGGAACTCAGTGCCTGTTAGCTGATTCACTCAACCAACCTGTACCGCTCCCACCCCTGGGCTTGGTGCTGGGACAGCGATGACGGGGAGAGGGTCCTGCCTCACAGGATTAAAACAGCCAAAGGGCTGTGGGTACAAGGGGGACAGGGCACGTGTTCTGCCTCTTGGGGGAGGCCTTGAAGGGGAAGGTGTAGCAATCATTCAATAAATACATGCTGATTTATTAGAGGGATAAGATGGTTTCTTGGGGGATAAATTCAAGAGGAGTCGAGAATGTTTTATTCATTTACAATGTCCCTTTCCTGGAAGGGAGGATAGCAAGATTTAGGACAAGCTAAAATCATTCCCTATTAAAAAAAAAAAAAAAAAAAGGCACCCCCAAGTAGTCCCGGGTGGGGGGTAAGGGCAGAATAAAAAAAAAAATCTGCAATGATTCCTAATTGTTTTTGAATACAGAAGCTTGGGAAGGGGTTTCCGCCAGTTTCATGAGGAAGGCACAACTTCCAGGTAGTGTTGGGGGGGAAGGGCATAAGGTCCTATGCAGGCTGGCCGCTTATCCCACAGATGCCAAGATGATGTCTACTGGCAGCTCCTCCAAACTTCTGGCTGTCACCTGCATTGTCACTGTGTCCAAAAGCAGCAGCCGGGAACGCACCAGGATGTCATGACCACCCCGGAACACACCTAGAAGGGAAGACAGAAGTACAGGTATATACAGCAGAAGGGATTGTACAGGGCAGGCTAAGGATGGCATTTGCAGCAGCCCATCAAGACAGCTGTGGTATAGTGAAATGGGCAGGAGAGCTGGGCTGAAATCTCTGAGTGAGGGATTTCACTGTGAAAGTCACTGACTCTCGGCTGGGCACGGTGGCTCACACTTGTAATTCCAGCACTTTGGGGGGCCGAGGTGGGTGGATCATGAGGTCAGGAGTTTGAGACCAGCCTGGCCAACACAGTGAAACCCCATCTCTACTAAAAATACAAAAATTAGCTGGGCATGGTGGTGGGCGCCTGAAATCCCAGCTACTCGGGAGGCTGAGGCAGGAGAATCACTTGAACCCGGGAGGCGGAGGTTGCAGTGAGCAGAGATTGTGCCACTGCACTCCAACCTGGGTGACACAGCTAGACTCCGTCTCAAAAAAAAAAAAAAAAGTCACTGTCTCTCTGGGCTTCAGTATCCTCAACTACAAAATGGCGGGGATGATAATACCATATTCAGGCTTCTGCTAAGTTCAAATGAATTGATGGACATAAAAGGCTCGTATCTGACGTCACATAGGCTCTTGCATGTTGGCTGAATCTGACAGCACAAATGAAGGGGACAGCCCCACCACGAGAAAACCACAGGGCAGGTGTCTGCAAGACCCAGGGGACTGGGTTGTTTCAATGTGGCTACAAACTGTCAGCTGTAGACAGGGTACTGAAGCAGAGCCTCCTTTCAACCCTGTTTATAAACACTTAGCCAAAAAAAATCATCCCATTTCCTTTTGTTAACTGTTTTAGGTATGATAATTGTATTGTCCTTTAAAAAAGGGCAGGGGTCATTATCTCTTAGAGAAACATAAAGATACAGAAGAATTTACATATAAAATGCTATTTCTGGAGTTTGCTAGTAAGTAATCTGGGAAGGAGAATGAGTGCAGGTACACTCAGCCAACCCTGTAGAAAATAAGACAAAGGATATGAAGACAGTGATCAGAAAAGGAAATACAAATGCCTCAACATTTGAGAAGATACTTAACTTCAATGAAAATACAAAAACTACACTAAGATATCATTGTCCACACAGACTGGCAAAGATCATAAAGTGTGGTAACATATTGTGTTGTCCACAGTGTAGGAAAAAAGGTATACAATTCTATGAAAGGCAACTTGGAGTTATTTATCAAGATGAGAAACACAAATCACTTTGACCTGGTGATGCCTTGGAAAATTTATCCTACAGATATTCTCAGTGTACACATGCAAAGTAAATTGTGTGTGTGTGTACACGATTATTTACTGTAACATCTGTAATAGCAACAGATTGAAATCAAACTAAATGTTCATCAGTAGCGGCTGTTCCACAGAATATGTGGTGCATCCACACAATGGAATACTAAGCAGCTATAAAAAAAAAAAAAAAAAAAAAAAGGATTCAGTTTGGGATGAAAAAAGTTCTGGAGATGGATAGTGGTCATAGTTTTACAATAGTGTGAATGTACTTAATGCCGCTGAACCACACACTTGAAAATGGCTGAAATGGTGAATTTTATGTATATTTTACCACAATTAAAAGAAAAAGAATGAGGAAGCTCTACATATTGGCAGGAAAGATCTCTTAAGATGCATCGTAAAGTGAAAAGCAAATTGCAGGACAATATACCATTTGTACATAAACATTTGAGTTAAAAAAAGGAAATGTGTTCCTTTATAGCAATAAAATAACTGCAAGGTTATACAGGCATTGTTTGTAATAGTAACACTGGTCGTTTCTTGGAAGGGAATCTCAATGGCTGGCAGCCAAGGTAAGGTGGAAACATTTCGCTGCAGATTATTTTATAGTTTGCGAATTTTAAATGCTGTGAATTTTGACTCCCCGTATTTACAGTTAAGTCCTTAGCCCAGGATCCAGTGGACATCCAGGCTGTAAGCGATCCAGGCCCTCCCCACCTGGAAATGCCACTTACCAGCCAGAAGCAACGTGTGGGTATTCTTGTTATCCGGCACTTTGTCTGACCTCTCACAAGGGTGCATTCCCAAGAACTTCACAATATTACCCACAGCCTCTATAGTGAGAAATCCCAATATTGTTAAGCCATCTTGTCTGCCCTTTGTGCCACCACCACTCCCCCATGTTCTGAAGGGCTTTTAATGAAATGGCATTTGACATATGTGCCCCAGACATGGCCCTGGATCCTTGGAGAGAAAAGGTATAAGCACTTCAACAGTACCCAAAGATCTTGAACGGCAAGTAGGCCAGAGGTGGCATTCCCAGGATTTTACCTTCAAGTGTCTTGATGGTAGACAAGGTGAATGTTTCCTCCTTCTCAAATTCATCCCCTACCTCATCCCAGGCTGCTTCGAAGTTCAGTTTCATGACCTTTTGAATGTGATCAGCTACAGTAACTTCCAAATCTTCCAGCTGGAGAGATGGAGATAGAAATCAAGCACCCATCCACACACTCTGCTCTGAACTCATCCACACATCCCTTCCTGCCAACTCTTTCTGCAGGTGCTTGCTCGGCACTGAGGACTGTGCTAGACTCTGGGGACACAGAACAACTTGACCAGGTACCTATCCTTGAGGTGCCCACAGGCAAGTGGTATCCCTTCAACAGAAAATGCCCTAATCCCAAGTACCAATCTATTAACTCATCCTAGAGCTGCCTGCTGTGAGATCACATCTCTTTTAAGCCTGCCTAGTGTCAGTGCTTCCAGGATCTGGCATACAGGGAATTACATAGCATTCTCAGAGGTCTGCTTCCTATGCCTGTCATTTCTAGGGGATGATGAGCTCTTCAGGAGCAGCAGCTGTTTCTAGTTCAGCAGAAACCTCCTACCCCAGCTGTGTCCTCTGGATTTGACAGATCCTGAATCTCTGTCTCCATTTCAGCTGTGTCTTCTCTGAACTTGACACATAATACTCCCACTGAGTCCACATGAAGGTTCCCCATTCGTTCTCCCATCAGATTTTCACTGAGGCCCTACTCCTGTGGATGTTTACAGTGTATATAAATATAACTTCGACCCAGCTCTTTTTTTTTTTTTTTCTATCATCTCTGGGTGGGCTCAAACAGACCCAGCTCTCTCAAGGAGCTCACTTGGTCTTAAAGCAGCTCCTGCCTCAGGGTCATTTCCAGCTTAAGGAAGGTCCATCCATCCTCAACTGTGACTCTAGGATGACACAATGGTGAATGTCAGCTGTATTCCACCATGACTGTCCCTCTAGTCAGGAGGAGTTCTAACAATCCCCATCCACAGGCTGAGCGTAATGGTCTGCACTCAGATGGCCCTGAGCCACTGCC